TCCTGGGATTGAGTCCTGCATCGCATAGGGCTCCTTGTTCAGTGGCGAGCCTGCTTCTCCCTCTCCCTCTGCTGCTTCCCCCTGCTTATGCGCTCTCTCCCTCTCTCTGACAAATGAATAAATAAAAATTGAAAAAAAACACCTAGTTATTATGGAATTTGTCAAAGTCATTGTGGTTAGGTTTTCAGGGAACTTTCCTTTCAAATATGGGTCTCTAATTTGAGAACTTTGACCCAATGCCAGATTGATAGTACATTTGCAATGAATTCTGGACTCTTAATATTCTAAGATAATCAAATTCTCATGTTTTACCATTCCTTGTTTCATACTTAGATCTCTCTGACGGCACTGAGAAAGGTGGTGTGTGCCCTTGGGTGTTTTGTGGTCCAAAGAGCAAACTTCTCTGAATTCTAATTGGCTGCTACGGGTCCCGGTCTGTTTGATCTGTTCACAACTGCCCAGTTTCAACCGCATTTTCTTTTCAGAGGACTGCTGAAAGTAAAAGGTACAACCCTAGTCACCTGTTGCTATCACTCTGAAGGCAGAGGATGAAATGTTTCCCCAGGAACACCATGCACACAGGGGAAGAGAAGGTCCCGGATGTGGGCTGGCCAACTTAATAAAGCACTACCACGAAGACTTCTGCCTCAGGCTCTGCTTTATGGAAACCTTTAGATAAAGCAGGACTCTCATAATTTTTCTGTTCCAGCAGAGAAACCATTACCCCACATTGGCATTTCTGGACCTCCATCTCTCGGATGGCTCACAGCCCGTCAGTTTCTGGAATTCTCTAGCGATATCTCAGAAGAACTCTCAAATAAGGAATCATGTTCACAGAGTGGGATCATTCATCATTCCTCCTCTTCTGCCCTGGCTTCTTTGCCTAGGAAACCTCAGGCACTGCTGCCCTTACTGTTTCCTGATGGCTTCTCAAAGTCAACGGTCACACTGCGTCTCAGTGTTCTAAGACTGATCTGAAGAAAGAACATCTTTCCTGCCCTCATCAACCTGTGACCATCCCCTCCAATACTCTGTCCTCTACTTCCTATCTTGATGCTCCCAATGGAAGGCTGTCTTGTACTCCAAATCTCAACTTCATGTGGACAATTTAATGTGATACCCTCTCTCTCCTTTTCAGTTTGCTCCAGGAAAGCATAGCTATGAGAGTGTCAACAGAGAAAAGGAGGCGAAACTGAAAAACAAAGGCCTTTTTTCTTAGAGTTTCGGAATTGCAATTCCGGAGGGAGCACAGATTCCAGTGTAACCAGGAAAGTGTCGCACCTGAGCTGAGAGAGCAGAGATTTTATGAGAGGAAGAAGGTGGGGGGAGGGGCAGTCACATGACTCGAATTAGGGAGGAGGAGGAAAAAAAGTCTTGACTGGTACTAACAGATTGAGCCATCTGTGTTTACACGTTGATCAAATATATCGGTGTTGTCTGATGAGACCACTCTTGGTATGCACTAATTAACTGCTCTCAGAAAGTCGGACTGGCAGTTTTATGGCCTGGCCGCCAACTGTCCTGCTGGTTTTACCAGCAACTGCTTGCAAAACAATCACCTTGACTGGCCCAGTTTAAAAGTTACTTTTGTCCAGTTCAAAAGTTCACTGGAAAGGAAAATGGAGCTTCGAAGCAGAGTTGCTCCTGTTCAGAAATTGTATACAGTCTCACAAGAGCAAGTCAGAGGACCAATGGTTAATGCAGAGCCAGACCCTCCTCTTGCTCTTCTGGTCATTCATGTCTTCCCTCCAGTTGTGTGACAAATATATTTGGGTTCACTTTGAAGCTTTCCAGTAGTAGCGGTCTGGAGAAAAAGACTTAAATCTCCTTTGGTTTAACTTAGGAACATTAACAGTAGTTGCATTTATTGACCATTAGTTAGTGTTGGTACCATTTTGGTTCCTCCCACAATCTCGAACTCCCCTTCTGCAATAAGTGTGTTTTGTTAGCCTAATAAAAAGTGCTTTGAACACTGAAATTCAGGTCTCTTGCGGAAGGCTGCATAATGGTTCCCCAACAATGTCCACATCCTCATCCCCAGAACCTATGCAATTTGTATTGTAACACAATACTTTTACCTTCATTGTAAAATAAACTTTGTTGATATGACTACATTCAGGATCTTGCAATGTGAAGATTATTCTGGATTTTCCTGGGTGGGTCTGATATAATCACAAAGATTCTTATAAAAGGGATGCAGGAGAAGTCAGAATCAGACAGAAGGGGAGGTGACAGAGCAGAAGGACAGGAAGAAAGAGATTGAGAAGACTATGCCGATTGCCAGGAAGTTGCGGGAAGATGGCCACGAGCTGTGAAAGGTTGATGGCCTCTGGAAGTTGGAAAGATCAAGGCCATGGCGTCTCTCCTGGGGTTTTCAGAAGGAACCAGCACTGAGGCCACCTTGACTTTAGTCCAGTAGAATTAACTTCTGTCTTCTGACCTCCAGAACTGTAAGAGAATAAGTTTGTGTTGCCTTAAGCTACTAAAGTTGTGATAATTTGCTGCAACAGCAACAGAACACTGGTGCGCTGCTTCCCCCCTTCGGTCAGATTGCTCCCCCTCTTCTCCAGAAATTCAGGGGCCACCAGCAGCTCTTCGGCACGGCTTAGCAATTTACTCAAATTATAATGCTCCATTCTAGTAACAGCTACATAGAGGAGATTCTCTTCTTGTTCCCCTTTTATGAAAGGAGCAATGAGGTTTCAATGAATCAAGATTTGACCTCGAGCCACACAGAAAGTGTTAGGACTGGAAAGGCACTGTCAGACCTGTCTCATTCTTCACAGCCTGTGCTCTCAATCAACGTATGAACCAGCTGAAGCTTCTGCATCTTTCTTTTCAGTCACCAAGTTAACAAGGTCTATGTGGAGCTTTTCATATTCGTATTTTAAAATTTTATCCTGGGGGTGCCTGGGTGGCTCAGTTGGTTAGGTATCTGCCTTCGGCTCAGGTCATGATCCCAGGGTCCTGGGATCGAGCCCCACATCAGGCTCCTTGCTCAGCGGGAAGCCTGCTTCTCCCTCTGCCTGCCACCCCCCCACCCCACCGCTTGTGCTGCCTCTCTCTCTCTAACAAATAAATAAGTAAAATCTTAAAAAAAAGTAAAATAAAATTTTATCCTGAATGTACACGGTGATGTTCTGCATCAGACAGATTTCTTATTAATGACCTCCCAGTGAGTGTCACTTCCTGCTTGCCTCAGGCCTTACCCCTGGGGTAATGTGATGAAAGGCAGATCAGCTGTCCCACTCCAAAAAGGGGGGCTGCGGGAAACACAATGGTCTCTGCTTATAAAGGGGAAGGAGGACTTTGATCCATTGCCCTCCTGAAAGGGTCTTCTTGGTAATTTGCTAACACTAAATCCCAACTCCAACCCCGTGTTATATAAGTAAATCTTTCCAAGAGCCAAATTACCCCAGGTCTCCACTGGTAGGACGTATGGGTGTCTCTTAAATTCTGTGGCTTTATCTATTTTGCCATGTGAATACCTGGAGAGCTAGCATTCCAGTCTCCCCACCACCCTGAGGCTTAACCTGACACCTGTGCCCGCATGTAAACATTGGGTCCCCTTTCAGGAGATTAGAAAAATTCTATCATCTCTTAGGATCAGAGCAATTAACTAGACAAATGACAGATTTAATACTCATGGTATGTGAAGAGGCGAGGACTTCTACAAGAACACTGAGAAACCCAAAGAAGTTTTATTTTCCGTAGCCTAAAATATATTGCCCTTGACTCGGGGTTAAGGAAGGACTCAGTGCTGGCATTTCTGGATCTTCCAGAATGGTTTGCATGTGTTCACCTCAATACAATTTAAAGAGTGCTGTTCCGTCTTATCTCCTTCATTCTGAGCAAGTACCATTAGAGTTATGAAGAGACTAGTATACTTAATTTTCAGGGGAGGACGTAGAGGCTCCGAGTAGCTGTTTCTTGTCTGCAGTTACCCAGCAACTTAAGACAAATGTGGGCATGTGCCTCCCTCTTCCTCCTGCTGAGGCTATAAACGTGCCCAGGAATGGGTCCTGAATCAGAGACAGGCACACATCCTACCTGGCTTTCCCCACAGGTGCCCAAACTCTCCTGCCTTTCAGATCTGAAAAACAAACTGAGGGTTCTAGAGGGGAGGGGGGTGGGAGGATGGGTTAGCCTGGTGATGGGTATTAAAGAGGGCACGTATTGCATGGAGCACTGGGTGTTATGTACAAACAATGGATCATGGAACACTACATCAAAAACTAATGATGTAATGTATGGTAATTAACATAACAATAAAATTTTTTTTTTAAAAAGAATATATTCTCTTCCAGGTGGCTCAGATCTTTCCATCATCAGATGAGAGCCTTTGTTTCTATTGTGGAAGCTGGATGTATTCCCACTGTCCCGGGGCCATTTAAATTCAAATTTGCAGGTTTAGAAACATTTGAACCATCACCATACTTGTGAAGCATTGAAACAGCATTACACTTGGTGACTGTTATTGCTCCATGGAGATTAGAAAATAAAGACCTTCTCATTTAGACCTTTAGGCAGATGAAACACTCAGCCAACTCACTTTTTCTGCTTTTTTCCCCCATTACACAAATTGTTTGAGTTCTAAGGAAGAACGCAATTTACAGTTTAGCTCCCAGATTTATTGAGAGGGAAAAGAATGTATAATTGAAAAACCATTTCATAAGATAATTTAAATGAGAGCTCTTTTAAAAACATGTATAAACATTTGCAAAATTTTAAAGAGCTCCAATTGAATAATAGTTGGTTATACTGAAACAAAATGAGTATTTTATGTGAAACAGAGATTCTCAGGGTGGGGGGCTGTAAGGACTTGGAGGAGCATCAGATATGCCTTCGTGAACAGGAGTGGAACTAAGGAATGGCCGCTAGCCAGTCTCTAAGTGGGTGTGGCCTATAGTCCGTTAGAAACTTACAGTGCTTGGGTATTCAAGAGGAACAACAGATCAAGAAGGAAACACACACACACACACACACACAAACTAAGCAAGGAACTTTTGTAAATAGCTTTATTTTCATGCTATTTGTAAAAATACATCGGTAAATATTTAAACTTCTCTATTCCAAGACATAGAGAAACACCACATAATTAACACTAAACAAGGCATTATGCCTTACAAGGAAGACATAAAATGTCCAAGGGATATTTAAAACACTGGAGTTTTTCTAAAGCTTCAACATCAGAAATGTTGACCACATACTGTGAAACTCTCAATAAATAATAACCAGCATTCTTCTCAACAGTACAAAAACAGAGGTGCACATACATCCCACGACCTTAACAGGGATGTATTTGCTTGGATCCCACACTATTTATCGCCAGCCTTCATCATGGTGAATGATATGGCATGGTTTCCCCCACCATCCCCCCAAGAAATAATAATTTAATGAATGAAGAATATTTAAGACTCGTCATCTACAAATTAAATAATAGAACTGAACCAACTTTGATGGAACATAAAAATGACCTTTTAAGATAATATAGTACAGCAAATTACCAAATTCATATCTTTAAATATTAGCTAGGACATTAATGTGCTAGCTTTGAGAAAATAAATAAATAAATAAATAATAAATAAGTTTAAAAAAAATAGAATACTCCTAGGCAAGAGTCAAATACATTAAACACAGTCCAGGGGGTTTCAGGAGGTTTTTGTTTCTCTTCTTCTGCTCCCACTTCACTAAGGCTGCAACCGTAAGTCACAGGCTTCTGCCTTCTCTCTAGCTCAGTTGGTGCTGCCCCTGTGAGGAGAAAATGGTTGCTATTAATAGGATTCCATAAACTGACGGCATAGCCCTGTGCCATGTGGTCACTACCTACATCACTGCCCTATGAGGCAGAAAATGCCAGGCTCCTGGATGCTGTCTAATTAGGAATAAGGGGCCTGTGATCCCAACTGTATTATTAGCTTCAAAGAGCCTGAATGTAATGTCACAGTAGACTAAAAAATTACATTCGGGACTTCACTTAAACCTCATGGCAAACACCTTGAAGTAGCTACTTCTATTTTTCTATACTATTGAGACTTAAAGAGATTCAGTACTTTCCCTGGGGTTACAGGAATAATAAAATATGGAGCCTAGATTACACTTAGGGCAGGGATTCACGGCAAAGTCCCTGATTTTCAGTCCTTCAGCTAAACCCTGGGTTTCCTTGGTAAAAATGTCCGGAGGCATTTGTCAGGATGTGTGACCAATGACTCTAGTCCCCCGTGTGAACAAAAAGCACAACTCACTTGTTTAGCATCTTGTTGATGATTTTCTTTACCATGGGGGCTTCGGGGTTGAGACAAACCTCCTGCCCATTCTTGAGAGTGGCTCTGCAAAGAGAAGGCAGAATCCGCGTTGGCCGGAGGTGGGGCTGGGCGGGGGGCCGGGGGGCCGGGGGGCATCGGGGCGGTGGGGGCCACAAGGACGCGAGCAGCCGCAGCGGGGTGGGGTATCACTTACATGACTTCGGTTTGGGCGCAGTGGGGTCCCGAGGGCGTCACCTTGACGCTCTGGATGTTCTTGAGGTGAATTCCCTGCAAGGTCTGCAAGCACTGGCAGCGCAGCTCGGCGACCACGGGCGCACCTGCGGGGAGAACAGACCGGGTTAGCGGACGACCCCAGGGTGGGCGCCCAGAGCATCCCTCCCCCCCGCCCCGCCCGTGGGCTGGGGGCGCCGAGTCTCACCTGCGGCGCGGCGGCCGGCGGGGACCAGCAGCAGGAGCAGC